CGGATGCGTATGGCTGCCTGATGACGGTTAATAAGTCACTCTAGTCTCCCTTGTCTTTTTCTAGTGATGCCTTTCTGCCTATAGTAACAATTTTATGTGTCTCGGTGCTCGGAACTTTGCAGTGGTTAGGCACTGGAATATGGAACCCAGTACTATGAGTTAATCTACGCTACTTTCAGGGTGGTTAGATTTCGTTTTGAGGTAGGGGTTAGGAGGAGTATGATGTATGTTGGTGTTAGAGTCTGGGTGTTTGGGGATATGAGTGTTGGTGTAATGGTGGGGGCTAGGTGTAGAGTCAGGACTACTGCCAGAGTTAAGGTTACGAGGCGGGAATACGTACGGCCCTGGAACTTAGCGCAAAACCATATGTAGCATGTTCTTCTGTCTGACTTCGTCTACCCCTACCAAATGCAGCCTTTATGCCCGATCTAAAAGTTGTTGTTTTACTCCAACTCCCAGATTCATACTCCTTGTTGAGATGGAGGAGATATGAACCCCAGCGCTGACTTTTAAACAGCCCCATCTCTGACTTAAGAATAGCGACAGTAATAAGAATAATGACACTCAGACGTTTCGGTAATAAGTCGTCTTAAGAATTGTGGCAGTACCAGACATCGCCTCCTTCAATCTGCCTTGAATCTATCTTGACACCTACTGAAGGTAATTGGGGGTAGGTAGTGCAGTTGTATCAGCGCAAAAGGCTACTGTCACCTAAGACTAAGTTAGGCGGTATTCTGGCCCGCATTGGTGAAACCAGCCTACGCCTGATCCCGTTCGGTCATCTCGACGCTGTCTTGTCACCGATGCAAACGGGTTGAGGGTTCAGAGTGAGGGAGACGGCTGCGCGTCAACGCACTTCCATTTCCCTCTGTCTCCTGTCACCCCTCTCCCCCTCACCCTGCTCCTGAGCACAGGGTGGACTTAACCGAACTCGATGGTCGAACAATCAATAGTGGGGATTAGGTGTGTGCAGATTCAACCACCGTAATCGGTGATTGCCTGAGGGCAGTGACGGTGACTGTAGCCAGGTATAGTGAAAGTAGACGAGCTGCCATCTACTCCACTCTAAACCCTCATCCGCTTTAACGGGTGAGGAGACAAAGTCGAGATGACCGAGCAGGAATCAGACGTAAGCCGCTTTCACCAACGCAGGCCAGAAACACCGCCTATCTTAGTCTTACGTAACAGTAGACTTTGCGCGGGTACTACTGCACCCTCACTCGCCTATAGAAGGTGTCTAGTCTGACTCTAAGAAACAAGGGCT